ATTCGCCCACAAACTGGAGATCCCCGACTCCTGCACAGGGACTCCTGCAAGGTTGGCGGTGGCCCTACCGGTGCACTTGCGCCTACAAAGCCCAAGACGAAGCTTGGATTTGAAGGGTCAAACTTGTCCAAGTCCTTTAAAGTGAGTATATTCATACGTTCAATAGTTTTTAAAATCTATTGTCAAGGACGGATTTAGGTTGCAAAAACGTAGGCAGGCCGGTAGAGGTAAAATCGATTTAGGTTGGGTGTGAATGTGGTTTTCATTGGCCTTGGCACTTACGCTTGTTAATTTTTTCGTTTCCTGCAAACATCTAGTTCCTGAAACTTGCTCGAGTATTACTGCTTCACATGCCCAAGTACACACATTGCGGTATGAATTGAGCCAAGACCAGGAAAGTTTCAGCAGAGTGCGGACAGCTTACCAAGCCGTTTCGAGTTGCTGCAACAAGTGCCTGTACAAGTGCACCGTTTGCTGCGTGGAAGGCAACTCTGCTGTAATTGTTTCCTCTTATTGAAAACGTAGCTCAGCGTGGGATGGTCAAACTTGAAAAGAGATATCAGGAAGCAGTACCAGAGCTCTTGCTGGTTGCTGCACTTCAAAGCAGCTGCAATGCACTCAACTTGCAAATCCTTCAGAAAATAGGCGCACTCAGTTTGAAAGACAGAGGTTTGGGTAGAAGATAGATGCAAGCATGTACACTTTCTTCAAACATCAGTGCAAAGGTTGCCAGGCCATTCTCAAGTGAAGAAACTACGCCCAAGTAGTGAGCTTATACTGAAGTACAGAGTACAGAGTCTCCCGCAGTCCCGGAGTAAAGTACTTGTTCTCAAGAAGTAAGGACCTCTCTCGCATAGAGAACATGAACTTAAGTATATGAAGTCAAGTTCTCGGCCTTTCGCAAGTAAAGGACCTGAACTCGAGTAGAGACCTTTCTCAAGAAAAGACCACGAACTCCAGTAAGGACCGTTGTCAAGTAAAATCTTCGCTCAAGTAAGGCCATGCTCAAGTAGAGAACTTGTACATACACAAGCCAAGACTGAAAGTAGTAAAAAGCTTCCATTCATGTACACTTTTGCTGCACTTCTGTGCACTCTTGATGCGCTTCTCACAGGTGCATCAGAAGCTCATTATTTAACTTTAGTTGAAAGTTCATGAACCTGTTGGTGCGTCCTATGGTGAATCTGCAGTGCATCACAAATGGACCACAAGTTCTGAAAGCGAAAACAATATATAACAAAATCATGAACCAATCATGCTTGTATTTCATTCACAAGACCAGACAGCTTCACATGACAATCAGCACACGGAACCAAGTAAAGGAGCTGCTGCTTCCTCTTTCTCTGCCTTTGCTTGAAGATCAAGAATAGCTGGCGGCATCTCTCACTGAGCCCTGCATGTCCATCAAGGCATTGATGCGGCGCTGCCTCCTGAGAATGCTTTCTAGACAAGATTGAAAATTGAAACGGAATGATGTATTGTCAGAACATCACTTGTTAGAACCATAAGTCCTTTCAAGAATCTTCTCAGCCTTGCACAGTCTCCTTGCGCCATCACTCTGTGCCTCGACTGGTTCTGTGTCGTTTTGCATCACAGAAACATTTCAACACTAACCTTCTTTAGAAAGCGCCTTCAACCCCCTTCGAGAAAACTTGCCACAGTTTAGAACTTCCATCTTGCATGCTCAAGTAAAGAACCGTCAAACAAATGTGCTCCCACAAAGAGGCTCAGCACCTGGCATGCTCAGCTAAGCAAAATAACCCCGATATTCAAAAGTAGCTGATACTGTAGATGATGTATGTACTCCACAAAACTGTTCTGTCTTGGACAAGGCCAAACACATAGTTGGTCACATGTTCTTATGGACATTACGGTTTCAACATTGACTCACGTTCGAAAAGCTAGGGCTCTAAGTAAAATGAATTTATAGGCTCCGAACAGAGTTATAAGCTGCGCATTAGATTGTTCTCAAACGTACTGCGATCCATGACTTAGGGTGCTTGCTGCAAGGAGAGAACTTGCGATCGGAGCCCCCAAGGCACGTACACAACCGGATCAAACATGCAAATCTAATAGCTGTCTCTGCAGTTGTAAACTGGCTGCAAGCCAGCTATAAAACATGTGCAGCTCCGATCGTATGTTGAATTTTTGGTGGAAAGCTTTTGGTAGTGAAAGAGTCAGAGTTCTGCTTGGAGCCTGCTGTGCGGCTGAAGCTGCGTGATGAGGATGAGAAACCTCAAAGCCCTAGTCCAGTTCTCCAGTTCATCTCATGGCAGAATTGCCCCGAAACACCACTGTATTTTACTTGCTCACTTTTGGTCCTCTGTCTTGCAACATAGGGCGCTGGCAAAGCCAGTGCCGACCAGCTGTGCCCTAGTTGGCAAAAGGGAAGGACCAAGCGGCGGGCGGTGGCCAAGAAACCACGACTGCTGATTGCTTTTCGCCTTGGAAGCGATGGGCTGCGACAAGTGCTGCCTCTCCAGCCACATGTGCTGCTATGTCAAGGAAACTTTGAACCAGAACCATGGCTGCGCTCTACTTCGCTGATCTTTTGCAAGTAAGTGGCAGTCTTCACAGTCACACTGCCATATTCGAGAAGATGAAGAAATTCTTTGAGCCTTGTGAGACTCGTGAAATGTTTCCTTTTGGAGACCGGTCGGTGTGGAACTCTGATGAGCAACTGGTCCTCAGGGCAACAAAATGCTCTTGCTAACATCTGTTTGGTCTGGGACTGGCGCAGTGTGAAGCCGGAAGCCCATGGCAAGATCCTTGTTGTGCAAGTTGTGAATCCCACTTGCTGGCCAGACTTCCTTGTGAAAGAGTGCAACACCTTGACCAGGAGAGAAGTGAGGTCCTGGATCTTATGGTGTTTCTTATCGTCTTGTTATTGTGTCGTAACCTGGTGGTGTGCCGTGTCTTCGCTGCTGAACATCAAATGAAGCACCTGTTGCAGCAATACACACTCGTGTATGTGTGTATTTGCAATATATCTGTAAAATCCCTTGTTGGTTCATAGTGAATGAAGCATGTCCTGGACAAAACATGAAAAACGTGAAACACACACACACACACACATAAAACAAATATATATATCTCCCTAGCACGGGGTTGCTTTACTTTCTCGTCTCAAAACTGGGAAAGCAACTTCGATCTACATCGTTCCCTGGGTCCTTTGCTTCATCATCTGCACAGCCTGAGAAGACCGGTGGCCTGGGGCACTAGGGTGAAGGAGGCACCACTGCGCAGGTTCGTCGGAGTTTTGGCTTTTAGCCAGTTCAAAGATCAGTGGTGGCGCGCAATGCGCCGGAAAAAATGGTTTTGGCCAGGAGCCCTTGGAGAGAAAAGCAAGTCGAGGTCAAGGAATCATGAGGAAGAAATACAATTACCACATAGATCACTCTTGACATTCATCCCCTCGCACAACATAATGGTATGAAACCTGCCCAAAAACGGATCCAAAAAGACGATCTATCGATTTTCGTTGATGTCCATGTTTGTTCTCTAGTTCGGGGGAGCCAACATTCTCCTCTCCCCGATCAGCCAAAGAAAGGCCCCCCTTGAGTACCCCCAGCTCAACGGCGGGGATCTGTTGTATGTCTTGTGTTGATTAGGACAAATGATCAGCCCATACTCGGCCTACCTTCTCTCGCGCTCTTCTGCGATCCAGGTACTGCACCACAAAGCACAGCGACAGGCCAAGGTGCAGGCTTCCAGAACAAGGACTGGCCAATCTGCCATCCCCCAGAACCTTGGGGGCCTCAAATCTATCAGCCTGCACCGTCTCTGTGCACGAGATCTGTGTGGGGCCGCGTTTTCAGCTGCACTGCAGCGCGCCAAGCGCCTTCGTGCTCGGTCTGGTTCTCCCCAAAGAGATCGAAGAACCCCATGATTTGCCAAGGGGGCAGTCAATGCGCCCAGCCAGTGCAAAGGCTTCAAACCATTGGTCTGTCAACAGAATATGTTCGATGATTTAACAATGACGAATGATATATCAAGAAATTGCTTTCTAAATTGCTTCTGTGCACCAGAAGGGATATTGTAGTTTGGTGACCCCGGACCATGCCAGGCCGTTTCAGTTGCAACTCTCAGCAACACATGAGGTATGTACAAGATGTGCCGCTACTGCATCGTTTTTTGGTGAATCTGCTATCGTCTGTCAAAGTTTCGAGCATTCCAGCAAATGAATGACACGATGTTTGTATGTATATATATATACAATCGTGTGTATATATGTAATCATTGCAAATGTTGAAGGCAAATAACATCTACACTCATGAGCTCATACATACATGCCCATTTCTATTCTGCGCTACTTGACTCTGAGCTGATTACCTATAGAAATCCTATATACAATCTCTTGGGCGTAGTCAGGCCTTTCGAAGCCCTGCCATGCTTGGAGACCCCATTTCCCCGCTGTTCCAAATGGATCATGATTCCTAATGGATCCACTTCCCAAATATTCCCAGTAAGGCAACCACTGGCCCGGAGGCTCCCGGAGGACTAAAATATAGGCAAACGATGGCAGACACGGAGGCTATGGATCCAATCCTATCAAACGTATCAAAGTCACCAGGATTCTCCTCTCCCTGTGAGTCTTCAATCGCTGAAGATCATAAATAGACTCGTATCTCAAACAAAAGGCTCGGCTAGGGTTCCGGATAGAACGGCAGCCACCTTAGTCCTATCACTTCGAACAAGTAGGCCAAGGATTCAATAGCTGACTCCCTTAGTTTCCCTGAAAAATAAAGGTGTTCCTTGTTCCAGCTGTTCGTTCTTAGCGGGGTGTCCCTAATCCTCCACAGAAGTGACCCACGTCCTTTTGGGTAGGAAAAGGATAAACATGTGAAAGTAACATCCGAACTTCAAAAACACAAAAATGTAGAAAATGATAGAAAATGGGCATCAAAACACCCCAATTATACCAAATGCAATACTGTAATCATCTGTAACCCATAATAACAACCCCCCCGTGCTCCGGCGCCTTCAACCCCCCGCAGTTCTCACAGCGAGTTCTCGCTCGTTGCTTCATCGCCCGCAGGGATGGGCCGTCCCACCGCGAGCGCCGCAACGGCCAAAAGCTCAGCTTTAAAGGCGTTGGGGACATTGCGGCTTGACCGAATGAGGTCCAGCAAGCGCCCCAGGGTGAGCCTCAAGTCGTCTAGGGCCAGGGATGGTGTCATGTACGGATGAAAAGAACGCCGGAAATCATGGTCCAGGTCAGGTACTTTCCCGATGACCTCAGGGCCGTAACCTCTCACATTGCAGGTCGACGTGCGGTAGTGCAAAAAAGCCGCATCAATTGCAATGTCCCGAAGTCATGCTATCATGTTTTTTACTCTTATCGTTTTCTCAGGCGGTGGGCTCCATGTACTAGACATCTGAATTTTCCAGCTTTCCGTGGGTGTGAAAGCATCCTTGGTCGAAAATCAACAGATGTAATCTTTTCCTTTCATGTCCTTTCATGTTGCAATAATTCCCTTTCATGTCGCATTCGTTCCCTTTCATGTTCCTTTCATGTTGCATTCATGTCCTTTCAATGTCCTTCAAAAGGTGATGCTCAAACCGGTCATATGGGTATCCTCCCAAACGCTTGCATGTTTGTCATATTTTGCTATCATATTTGTTACCGTTTTGGAGGCCTGTGCAGATTGCCATCTTCAGGGTTCATGAACATCTACATGCATAAGCCGGTTATGGCTTTTGTTTACTCTTATCGTTTTCTGAGCCAGCAATGCATTAGAGTGGTGTTAAGGTGCAGGCCAATACTAGACTGCAGAGCGCGGGGTTATTTCATCAGCCCACGTTGGGCTGTGGGAAATTCATGTGCAACCCAGCACCAGTGTCACTCCCAATTGTTCAGTGGTCTTTAGTCTGCTGTCAAGTGGGTGCACGTAGCTTCTCGGGCTGCTCCCTGGTTCTTGACACAATCTGCACCCTATCCCTGGTTGAATTCTTGTAGAGGTACCCTGCCCGTACAAGCCCAACGCTCTGGGCCCCCGCCCATATGTTGCAGAAACCGGAGATGACCCACGGATGTGATTTGATGGAAAACCGACGAAGTCTGGTACGAAACAAAAGCCTGGCACGTCGAACAAACATATAAAACCAAGCAGCAACCACGCAAAGAAGGAGAACCACCAACGGGTCACCAGCTGTCAAAGAAGTCAACCTCCCTATCAGTGCTATACCCAAAACCATGGAGAACAAATAATGGCCATCTGGTCTGTGAAACTCTAAAAAGCAGCAGTGGGCAGCTCAACCTGCCCCTTCATAGCTGGGCCGCTTCTTGAAGATCTTTGATAAAATTGCCACCATCTCCTCAAAAAGGGCACGGATCTGAGGAATTGTTGGCTCCCCTGAAATAAAACATGCCACTATTCCGAGTTGTGGGCAAATATGTTGTTTCCCCAAGGTAAATATGCCAGTCCCATGGAGTACTGGCACCAATTGGTGCAGGCGGTCGAACTCTTTGTGGCGGCATCCCAGATCTGCTCAAAGAAACACTCCTAAACTCGGAAATCTAGAATAATCATAACATCTTTGTCCCAGCTATGGTCAGCTCATGGTCGTGAGGTCATCAACTTATAGGAAGAAATCGTCTTGAATAATCATTTCATGATCCAGCCCTCCCAACACATTCATCCACTTCTGCAACGAAAAGTGGGTCGCTGGGGAGGCCGCAACGGGGTCATCTTCCTCATGGTCTTCTTCAGTTCGTCTTCGCCTATTAAAAAGGGTCACGGCCTGGCCGGGCGTTTGGGGACTGGCCTTTAGGTTTAGGGACTGGCCTGGCCACAAACTCCAAAAAAGGTAAGCCGAACTGAAGAAGCTCGGGTAAGATGTTCGATCTTCACATCTTTTCACCAGTGGCAAGGATGGGATCTGGGCCTTCTTGTCTCACCTTTCCCAAAGTCAAGACGACCAGTTGTCAGGAATATGGTCCCTCTCCATACCTTCTGCCCAAACTGCTTGAAAAGCCAAGCGGCAGGTGTCACATGCTCGTGCTTTGGAAGTGCCTTCAAACGCCTGCGCATGCAGGCCAAGACCAGGCTCATCTGTGCGGTGAGATTTTGCTTCCGGCATCGCATCTCCATGTGGTTGAGCAGCATTGACAGTGTCTGCAGCAGCATGGGCGGCCAATCGTGTCCAGAAATCAGAGCCCTGTTTGGAAGATATAGGTGTATGTATATATATATAGAATCAATATGCTACTTCAGGATCACACAAGAGAGAGAGAGAGAGAGACCGAGTGACGCTTCAGAATGAGAAATCACGGAATAATATGATCAAGTGTTTTATTGCTATTATAAGGTTTTTGCCCAGGTGGCACATGTCTGGGAATCAGAATTGTTTTTCACAGGTCGGTAGCCTTTTACCGCAGTTTTACATCCAAAAAGATGTACAGTATCCCTCCTCACATAAACATAACAACACCCGAGGGAGGTGACACAGGATGACAAAGCTTCACCTAATGTGCTTGTTAGGCGTTCAACCCACACCCAGCGAATTCAGTGGATGATACAAGGCTAACAGGAAGATAAAGGAACCTAACTTTAACTTAACACGTGCCAGATGGGGTGATGCATTTGGAGTTCCGCATGCACCTTCAGTCCAAAGTCATTCAAGTGTGCCTGGGATAAGCCGCTTACAGGAGGCGAGCAGCCGCTTTTCAGATGACGACTCAAACATTGGGAACAACTCTCAGGTTGGCTTCGCCAGGGCGAAGGCGACTTCTTCCAGAATTGCTCCGTCTCTGCGTCTCCGTTCCCAGGTTCAGTGGCAGTGGATCGGTCTTCAGTTCGTGATCGAGTTTGATCCCCTGGGAACTGAGGTCACCAACAGGCCTGGGACTCCAAAAAGGTCGCCAACTGAAGAAGCTGGTGTGGTGGATCCTGAAAAGGAATTCTTTCGGTTTCATTCGCGTCTGCTTTCTTCGCCAAACGTTCATCCCTTCACCAACGCCCTCCCCTTCACCGGCTATCCTGCTATCGCCACGTGCGCCACGTGCGTGGTCCAAGAAAGGGCCCCACCTGCGCCTCGGACAAGGACTCGAAGCACAGCCGTTGTGTTTTGTCCAGCTTCTTCTTGGTGGTCTCCTTTGCTTCAGAAAAGCACAGAAAACCCGCGGGCTTTTGCGGTGTTTGTTGGTGTGGGAATCGACAATTGGACCGGAAAGAAACCTGGACTTGGCTGAAACAGGCCAAAGGCTTATGACAAGAGCACTAAGAGCACCGATCCCGCCAAAAACTCTATGTTGTTGTTTTGCTGGTTCAAGAGTCCAGTTGAATAGGCATCTTTAATACATGGAGTGGCGGAGAGTGCTCCAACTCCGCCAAGTCTCGTGCTTCAAATGGCAGAACTGGCAGTCCACACCCTGCAATGGCAAGGAATCAACAAGCAATGGCAAGCTCCATGAACACTTTGGCCAGCTTTCTTGCCAACTTTGGACTGCATAAAGCAGTATATGTGTATAATACTATATAAAAGGCTCAGGCTCACAAGTCCAATGCCTTTTCTTCGCAAGACCCAGATAGTCGAAAACACGTAAAACGAAATCGAAAACTCATGCTTAAAGGATCTCTCCCGGATCCTTATCTTCCCCTAGGGGACTGCTCTGCCACACCAGGAGCAGCCCCTAGCCCAGGAAGAAGGTTTTCTTCTGGCTATGTCTCTCCCTCCCGCCACACCAGGGAGAGAAAAGACCTCATAGCCTGGTCTTAAAAGTCCAGCGATCGCACCTCACGATCTTTTTGGGTCTCTTCTTGGAGTGTTTGGAGCTCTTTCCCCTGACCAACTTTGGGGGGGGTGGGGAGGGCCTTTGAGCCGGAGCTGCACGGGTTGGACAAAACTGAGACTTCACCTTTAGTTACGGGGGCGTTCAACCAAAGGCTCAGGCTCACAAGTCCAATCCCTTTTCTTCGCAAGACCCAGTTAGTCGAAAAAAACGTAAAACGAAATCGAAAACTCATGCTTAAAGGATCTCTCCCGGATCCTTATCTCCCAGGGGACTGCTCCGCCACACCAGGAGCAGCCCTAGCCCAGGAAGAAGGTTTTCTTCTGCCCACATGCCCTTTGAGCCGGAGCTGCACGGGTTGGACAAAACTGAGACTTCACCTTTACTTACGGGGGCGTTCAACCATATGAGTTATCCTGAATGTATATAGAATAATTTATGCTGTCTGATATATATATATATGTGCATATCTTTATGTATGTATGTATGTATGTATGGATGGATGGATGGATGGATGGATGGATGTAAAGATGTACGGATGTATAGATGTATGGATGTATGGATGCATGCATGTATGCATGTATGCATGTATGCATGTGTGCATGTGTGCATGTGTGCATGTATGTATGTATGTATGTATGTATATATATATATATTACATTCATATATTATTCAATTTGTACATAACCGTTTGAGGATCCATGATGGCGGCCTGGCATTCACCATGGCTATGCCAAACACAAAAACCCCACCTTCTGGCAGTTCCCGTAAAAGAATCCTGAGCTCGGTGTGGACAGGGACTGGTAGCTCGTGGCCACCTTGTTTTGGATGGTAGCTCGCTAGCTCTCTACATCTCGTTTCATCTAGAAAGGAACACTTATAGGCCTTGAGATGCCGGCGCCAAGGCTAAGGTCCCTAGCCTCGAACATCCTCGAACACTGCTTTCGGGGTCTCTAGACAGCAGCCCAGCCAACCGGCCCATCCAACTGGTGGGTCGTGATGGAGTGCTCGACCTGAATTCTGGGTGAAGGGTTCGCCTGCCTTTTCTGGAAACCTGAGAGAGAGCTTCCATGGAAGCCTCCATAGCATTGCACCTTTTCCACCGAAACGCAGGGGTCTAAACCCGAAGCCTTCCCATTTGTTGATCTCGCCCATATTGTACTGCACTCTCCCGGATTCCCATGCAGTCAAAATCAGTCCAAGCCGCGGATGCAGGGATTGCCGCAAATCTCAGGATGCCCGTGGCTACCCAGAGTCTCCGTCTGGGTCACAGGCCAAGAGAAGGTTTCGGCTGCTCGAGCCAACAACGAAGTCGCCTTGGGAATGGAGCGAAGATGAGCGAAGAAAAAATACTGTAGTAGGTCTCTCCCAAGTAGGGTAGCCCAGGCAGGACACCCGCTGGATGGTGCAGTGTCAATCTGAGCTGGTGGAAACTGGTCACACATCGCTTGTTCATGCGTCTCAGATCCCGTAGTTTCCCACCAGTAGCCTGCTAAAACTCCATGTGACAGTGACAGGTACGTGGATCTACTTTTGCTCTCTCTCTCTCTCGAATGAATGAATGAATGAATGAATGAATGAATGAATGAAGGAAGGAAGGAAGGAAGGAAGGAAGGAATGAAGCACGAAACCTGGGTCTGAGTAATTAGAACCCTCTGTACATTGCTTTGAGGTGCCACGAGAATCATCAAGGAGTCTCGCTCAGAACCCTTCACTTTTCAAGGACCAAGTTTATCTAGAACACCCTTGAAGTTGAAATAATGTTCGTGGGGGGCCTGTGAGACCTTATACAGTCCTTGAGGGGGAAGACTGCACGCAGAACAACCCCAGCTTCTGATCGAAAATAAACAAATGCATCCAGCACCAGCATTCCTTGCTGAACACGCTCTCAAAGCATCTCGAAGCTGCGTCGCTTTGGCAAAAACACATGCTCCTGTTATGTTCCCTTTTCCGGATTTGCCGCGGTTTTGGTGCTGAGACATGCTGAGACCCTCTACTTTCTACCGAGGCACATAGTCAGCCCTGTGCTTCTCGAGATCCTCGTGCCTCATCATGGTCGTCTTGGCTCGAGGTGGAACGCTCAGGCTGCGATGTGAGTCTTCCTGCACCAGCGAGCCGGTGGGGAGACAAATTCTAGAAACAACGTGCAAGCAGGTACCCAAAGGTGCGCAAGCACAAGTGAGAATGCCAACGGCACATATTGCAAACACTTTCAGAGTCTTATGATTCTGTATGATTCAGTTTTCATTCAACCAATTTAAGGTGCTTGCAATGATTCTCAGGTCTCTACACTGTACTTACTTCTGGGTCTTATCTTTTTGTTGTGGAGATCAAAGCCTTCGAAGCTAAGTCCAATCACGCGGCGGCGGGTTGGTGGTGGGTCGTTGTGCTGCTGGTTGATGGACTGGTTGATGGGATGGTTGATGAGCGGAACATGATGGAACTTTCCTCTTGAGATCTACGGATCCAAGACTCCCAACTCAGGCAATTCCACACATGTTGGACACCTGCAAGGGGGACTGCGTGAGGTTTTCGGAAGATCTCAGGTGGTAGAGGCCATGCATTGGTGTCTGATGGGCCCCAGATGAGTTGTGTTTATTTTTGTGGTGTGGGGCTTATACACTGTACGCGGGTGCCTACGCCTGGGCCCCCCCTCTCAAGCAAATGCCTACGCGAGAGGTTCTTTTTGTTAGGTGCCAACGCGGGATGCCTACGCAGGGTACTGTCACCAACTTTAGTCACATCAGGTGACTCGAAAAGAGCTACAGTATATAATCAGCAATTAGTGGCCCGATGCGACCGGGTCACATCAGGTTCCTGTTTACAAGGCGTTTACAGCTTTGCTACCGATGGCCAAATAGATTTTGTAACAAGCCGATCCAATTACAGTGTGGAAGCAGCAGCACATAAACAGCACACGACAAGCAGCAAACAAGCAGCAGAAAACAAAAGGCAGCAGCAGCAGCAGCAGCAGCCAAGCAGCAGCAAAAGCAGCAGCAAAAGCAGCAGCCAAGCAGTAGCAGCAGCCAATAGCTTCTTGCCTACTCGCTGCTTCCGCCAGCGCCTACGCGGGGCCTACGCGAAAATAGGTCCATTGATTATGGTACCAACAGGGTGCGCACACTTGTAGCTCAAGAGCCGGTGTGCCAGACCAAGCATGATCAAGCTTTTGACCTCAAAAACCAATGTGCCCCCATAGCTTCGACAAACAAACTTCAAACATCCACTGTAGCCATGTCGTTACAATTCATGTTCATTTTCCTTCCCCACTGGAATGTGCAAGCAAGTGTCAAGTTAAACAACCACAAGCCAACATTATCTTTCCCCAAGACCCTTGAACAACTTTTAAAGAAGTCTGAATAAGAAAACTCAGGCTTTCATGAAAAGTGTGCCTACGCAAGACTGCCTACGCAAATCTTTCAACACCCACCTACGCAAAATTCTTACACGACGCCTACGCCCCAAGCAGAACAGCCTCCGCAACTTCTCAACAGTTCCCTTTTTGTATAAACCTAATCATTTGCAAAAAAGAACGTGGCTCAGATGGTCCGGTGAGTGCCCCTGTCTGTCGAATCGTTTGAGAACCAGGAAAATAAATGTGGTTCCTTCTTTTGGTCTACAGTTCCGTCCTTGGTGCTGTGGATGGACAGATCAGAAGCTAGTAGAGAGCCAACTGATTAGAAGAACACGGCCACCGCAGCATGAGGATCGGATCCTATTAAACCAGGAAGGTACACAGCAGGAAGTACACAGCATGAGGATCCACTCTTTGCACTGCAGGATCCTTTAAACCCCGGTCACCCAAGTTCTCCAGTACACCCGAGTAGCCAGTACACCCCCCCAAAACCCTGTGAACGCCTGAGAGATGTTCATGTCCAGGAAGGTGTTCTGGTAGCTCAAGGTCTCCATTCTAAAAAGTTAGGTTCGGGCAGACCGTCCAAAGTTGCTTGAACGTACCCCTCTAGGCATGAGCAGAAAAGCTGCAGATCCATCAGGTACTTGTCTGCAATCATGTCCAATCAGTAGAAGTGACTGGTCATGTCAAATCTGTTCAAGTGAATTCCAACCCAGCTCAGGTTGCACCCACCCAACAGCACTAGCACCTGGGAAGCCATCAAGCATGCTTCCGGTCCGTGGGGTCTGCATGTCCACGTGACACCCAACTTCCGGGGTCGCAGTTCAACCCAAGTTCTCGAACACATCCTCCTAACTCCAAACCATATGATGTGGACCCCGAAACATGGGTTTTGGACGTGTTGGTGGCACATATCCTGCCCAACAAGGGCACTTCTTCCTGCCAAGATGCTTTTCTTTGCCAGCCAGGAACATCAAATCCCGAACTCATGCATGCTTTTAGAGCCTGGACACCAACCGTAATGTATGAGTGATAGTTTGAGGCGATGTAGACCGACCCTCGCCTGAACAAAGGATATGAGGTCATGCGCTTTCCTGCGAACCAAATTCCGATGGATTCAGTTGGTGCTCACTCTGAACAAATGTGAAAAGGGCAGTTGAACCAACGAGCATCCCACCGCATTCATTGATCCTGTTGTTCCACTTTGTTTTCCACCTTAAGTACGTGAAATCAATTGTATTAGTAAATAAAATGGAATCAGATGAATACGTGAATTCACTTCTGAGTTTCTGAGTGGTCTCTCCTCTCTTTTCGCTGTTTCTTCAGTCCCCGGGCCATGCCACAGCGGCTGATGGTCGCAGGGGAGGCGACCTGCGGACCGTGACGCGTGACGCGCGGCTGATCGCGGCTGATCGCGGTGACGCACGGATCGCACGCCGAAGCGTCCAGGCAGCCAAGGTGCAGGCATATCTATATGGTTCTGTATTTTACTGTATATTTATTGATCTATAAAACTACTATATTTATATATATATATATGTACTTCCTCCAGGAATTAGGGAAGCGGAAAGCCAGTTCTTTGTAGAGGAAAATGGTCATCCAAGGGGCCCCTTCCATTACCATGATAACTTCAAGGCGTGTGTGCAGGCTTTCAATCTGTGTGAGCGTGAAACAAACGTGTGTTGTTCCCCACCTGCGAGATAAAGGTCTTTAGATATTATGAATAGTGAGACTCTGAAGAGGCCCTCCTGCTTCCATTGCTTTCCCCCTCTGTCTAAGCATGCACGGACCGGATCAGGATTGGTAGCACACAGGGACCCGAACACTACAGAGAACCCCAGCTTGGTTTGGGCACACGGACCTGAACACTAAATCCAGCTCCGGGGCACGCAGGGAGACATGCCATGCCAAATAGAATGGTCGAATAGATGCCAGAAAAGATGGCCAAACATGGCAGAAACTTTGTCAAATAACATGTCAAAGTAGATACCAGCTAGAAAACCAGCAAGAATCTCAGAATAGATGCCAGGTAAAATGCCAAAAAGAATGGCGGAATAGATGCCAAATAGCATGCCAGCAAGAATGTCAGGTCAGAAAGAATGTCAGAATACCTCGAATGCAAAAGGCAATACACACATGAGTCAGAAACGATGTCCTTTCTCGGAGCAAGTGGCAATGGTGATGGACATGCGGTCCATACTGTGCATGGCAGAACGCCCCTCAGACCCGAAGCTGGACCATATGTCACAACACAATAAGTGAAAGCACAAAAGCACCAGAGGTGCGAGAGCACGACTTCACAGGAGGGGAAAACTGTCACGTGCCAGTCGTCCGGAAGCCAAAACAACCTTCAAGAGAATGTTCGTGGGCCTCTATGCCAGATGATGTGTCAAAGGTCAAAACACACACCGGTCTTGAAACAATTATATAATGTATGTCAGAACAATGCGTGATCGCGCATATCAGGTAGCGTTTTGTGTGGACAATATCGATACATGTGCCATGCCTTCTTCCAAATCACCTCTCAGGGTGGGGAACGCTCCAAAAACAAAAAAAAACAGTAATGTTTGTCTGATGGGTTCTGGAGCACATGTTTTGTTCCCATGCTTTGCAGGTTCCGTGGTTTTTTTGCAGGGTGTGCTTTGGAAACTGGAACCAGGGGGAAGCATTTGAAACATCTCCTTAGATTTCTACATAGATTTCCAGTTGAGTCCAACAGCTGTTCTCCAGCTGTCTTCAGGCTCTTCGGAAACATTCCGTTCATCCGTAAAGCGGTTGCCTCATGGGATTTCTCAAGCGGTTGATTGTGAAGAGCTGGTGCTCGAAAGTGCTTTTGATGAACCCGCTGGTCCGTTTGGACCGAGGAAGAGACCCAAAACGGGGTCCAAAGGGAAACCTCTTTGGAACTCGTGTACGTTTTAGAGAGCAGAACTGGGCCCGTCCTCGAAAACTGTGCCAGTTCTTCTCTACCAAGTCGCCAAGTCGTGAGTGAGTGAGTCACGGCCACTCAACGTAACTGAAAGGCCCCCTGAGAGGAGTCCTTCTCAGCGCCTTGAGGTCCTGCACTTCAAAGAGCATGGTCATGGTGGGCGGTAACCTCGCAGCCAGACGTGGACCAAACGCCCCCTACACAGCTCCGGAGCAGTATGCGGTGACGGAGTATATTCTCGTCTTCACAGCATGTCTGCAACTCCCAAAGCACTCGGCTTTCAAGCGTGTTAGTGAAGTGCTCCTTCTAGTTGCGATCGTTTTCGACACTGTCTCTCCGGGAAGCTGTCCGCACCCAAGTGTTAGATGAGAGACCCAAAAGAAGAACACGACCACTGCACAGCTTGCTGTCCTTGTGGGTGGGGTGTCATCGGTTTGAATTCGATCAGAAAAAAAGAAGATCCGGTGCACGAATTGGGACCATCCAACACCATCTGCCATTCCTGTTCCCAACATGTCCCAATCTCCGGGCATTCCGATTCCGGACCATGCCACTTGATGCGTTCACCATTGGCCAAGCAAAGCATCTTGTTGTCGTCCAGCACCTCAGGGCTGCCACCCACTTGGGAAATTTGCTTTCGCTGGCCATCGGTGTTTTTCAGACGGCCTGTCAAAAAGGATAAAAACGAGACTGGAAAAAAACAATTAGACATTCTAAGTGAAGTCTACATCTATCTTTACTTCACTTAGAGGGTAGATGTAGAAGACATCTTTCTTAGTCTAAGTGAAGTCTACATCTAGCTTAACCTGAGGGTCTTCATAGGAGGTCTTCATAGCTACTATAAAGAGAACACTACAGGAGGTCGAAGTCTCACACGGTGGAGAACTAGAACACTACTCGGCTCATGATGGAATACCTGCTTTCACTATACACTATACACTACGCACTTGAAAAGTCAAAATCAATCAAAATCATGCTACCATATTCTACCCTTGGAACCTTTATAACTAAATACTAAACAGGACTGCTCCCTCCAAAAAATGGCCAAGGACTTGTGCCAGCTAGATGTGAGCCCTTCGGAGCCTCTCATGTGGCATGAATCTTCCGGAGGGATAACATTGTTCAGTTGGTACCATGTCCAATGATGCCCTAGCCTTCATAGACCATTAAAAGATATTCAAAGAATGGTTGACCTGGTTTTGTAGTCAAACATCCTTAAAGCGAAACGAACGTCCAAAGATCTTATTCAGACTATGTGACTCTGATCACTCACTCCCTCACCGCGTCAGCTACTCTTCCTCCCAAGCGGTAAAGAACAGACCCAACCAGTCGCCCTGACGTCCAGTCTGGGCATCGGCGCCGTGTTCATGTTCTCAATCCAAATGGCATCCACAGGACCATCGAAGAGCACCTTTTCTCGGCCGCCGGTGAGACGAACGAGACAAACGACAGCGGTGTGCGAAAGGATCAAGGCGGTTTGGGTCGTTTTGCGTGCTTGGAGCGTTCAATGGAGCGTGACCTACTACCCAAACACTCCATGTATGGAATATCGATGCCTACATTCACCCTTGAAACCACCCCAATATGCAAATGTGGCAGTCCCATGTTTGTGTCTGGGCGAACTCTTGTCCATGGGCAAAACACCGTGAGCAACCAAGAACAAACAAAACATGCTGAGGATTTACCATTTACAATGGATTGAAATTGAATCATTAACAAAAGCATGGGGAGTCTGTGCATGTTCGTGATGATGATTTACTTAGATTGTGCAAACATGTTCGATAGCACCAACGTTCGAAGCTTTTAGTTCTTTCTGGTGCTTGCTACCAAGTCGTCGCCCGAAACAACGAAAATTGGCTGTGCACACGAAAACTTGGAACAAACATAGTGACTTGGATGTCTTTCAGCCCTCAAGTAGAAGGAGGTCTTTCAGCGCCCTAAAATAACGGTGGCAAAAACATGCAAAAACCCGGTGTCCAAAGAGGTGTACAACATCTTTACCTTGAGGAACTCCCTCCCTCCCTCGTGGTCGCGATTCGATGGAAAAACCACCCAGTCGAAGACGTCGCGACCGCGCGTGAGCGACCGTCATCCAAACCACGGATCTGGAAGAATTGGCCAACAATCCGAACCCGCCAGTGCTTCCTTCCAGTTCTTGTCATGATGAACCATGCAGTTCTCTCTTTTGGGTTTTTACCAAAAGGATCGAAAAAGGTGCCAATCTTTTAAATGATGAACCATGATGACCCAGTAGATATATATAATGGGCATCCATGTTCTTTCCATTCACCACTCCATCACCGGGTCCCCCGTAGCTCTCACCACCCCTCTCACCACGCGGACTCGTCCCTCGTCCACCCCGGAAGGCAAAGCTCTGACCGGTTCCAGTGGCACCCACTTCTTGTTCTCGGAGGTATCACTCACCGCTTCACGGACGAGGAGGGCCACCTCAGGGCCGCTCGACGTGTTGAACCCGCGCGAGTTCTCGGGTTTTTCATGGTTTTTCCACAAACCACGCGTCAGAGATTTCACTGGCAGCGTGGAGAAATCGGTTGGAAATGGTTCGGTCAGTGAAAAGTGTACTCGACAGTACTGGCTAGGCTAGGCAATAGGTCATCTGGTCAGAAAGGAGAGGGTCCCGTGGGACCTTCGCCTTGCTCAGTCTGCTCTATGGTTTTGGGTGCTCGGGTGCTCCTTGAAAGGATCCAGTTTCAGTTGATCAACTCTTTCCTTTCGGTGAGGAATGGCATGTGGTCTCCTGGCTTGAAACACAACGGGTTTTCGTGCAAGGTGCACCGAAACGAAAAGCAACAATGACACACTGTTCGAAGCAGAGTTGCAGGGCTTGACGGGATAATCACAACCGGAACTGTCCAGAACAAACATCCAAAGCTGCCAGCCTTCTTTCCTTCGCTTGGTGGTTTCTCCTCGTTGAAGCTGGGTCCGTTGCAGAATGTTGAACCCTGTAAACAAGCCGAAAATGGATGCAAGTGGTTTCAAAATGAGTTGATTATGTTCGTTTCAGCTGGGGTTACTTGGACCCATGAAAACACAGGATTCTCAACCACACCACCTTTGAACCAAATACACCAGGTCACCAGGAATCCGCCCCAGAAATCCGTCACCAGGAATCCGCCCCAGAACGGGACATCTTCAGTCTGCCGAAACCAGCGGCATCCTGGATTTTCCGCCCTTCGCCACTGGCTTCGCCTCCTCGAACAGCTGAGTTCGAGGCCAAGCCATCAGTCCATTCACCTGTGTTGATGTTCGAAAAGCCGTAGAGCTCCTGGAGCTGTTTGTTGTACAACAATGCGTTGCACGGGCCTCAAATACCACGGACATATTCTGCTTGATCATGCTTGATCATCATCTAACGTTCTGTTTGTTAGTATAGTATACCATGCACTTACGTACAAAAAGCCTGGCTTTCAGTACTATAATAAGGCAGCCCATTGGAGGCACTGGGTAGAGATGAAATCAGGCACAACTAAGAGTTCGCGTTGAAGTTGGTAGGGGAATTTAAGAGTCTCGCCCCCATCTCAGAGATTCCTGAAAAGTTCCGACCCCTATTCCTTACTAAGCATCCTGATGAGTCAGGTTTGCTTTGAGCTGCTGACTACTGCGTCCATCCCCTCTCTCCGTCCATCATCCAACGATCCTCGTTCGATGCAGCGCAGAATTAGCGGATCCGAGCGACGTCGACGTGAGGCCTCCGAGCAATTCTTACACCTCCAGATCTACTTTCGCTCCCTTTTGACTGGTTGTGCTTCATAAACGATATGGTTACCTGCTGTCCTCGGTCCCCTGAGAGCTACACAGAGCTCACCCTAAAAATGTACCTTCCCTGGACAAAAAGGCCGGCGCATCGTCGCCCTTTCATCCACGCAAAGCATGCAAGGTGGACACCACGGCACGACGCACTTTGTCCTTGGATGGTGCCGAAATGTGACTCGGCCGACTTCCGATGCCATCCGACCACCCAAACGTGAAACCATGCGACCTACCACGAAACGACCACGCGCCGTGTTCGTTGTCCGCGTGTTCTGATCTGATGTGCGGAGCGTGATTCGAAGCGCGGAGCGCACCGTTCTGCCGGACCCGACAGACCAGACACGTGTGCAGCGATCGGTCCATGGAGGGTGCGCCGATCGTGACGGGCTGAACCGTGACCGATCGCGAAGTGCTGGGTGGGTGAATGGAGGGGTGCCGACGCCACAAAAGCAACCTCAATGGTCCTGTTGATTTAGGCAAAGCTGAAGACTTTCATGCGGCGCACTGCAAACAGTGGAGCTGTCACCCCATGCACAAGCTATTGAACCTCTTTGCGGAACTCCAAACCATCAAACGCCGAGTTTCAATGAGTCTCATCCATCTATAGGCCAATGATGGCCAATGGATCCGTACAAACTGATCAAAACTGCATTTAGATGTCAATGCCTTTGTTGCTTATGTTATTCACTATGGTCCCTGGCAGACCTCCAAACATCCATCCAGAGTGGCCAGATGTGCAGAACTCCACATGTTTGCTTCCTGAAACATCAGGTGCCCCCCCCGGTGTCACCACTTCTTAAGGTCAGAAGCGAAAGATCGAACAATATCGAACACCTCAACCCGAAACGCGCAGATGTGCCGATAAAGGCCCAGATGTGCCTTCAAGGCCCGCAGCTTGGATGCCGTCAACATCTAAACAGCTAGAAGGACTGTATATAGTAGATGAGCATCCGAAAACGTATATGTCATGGACCGAACCTCTGTCAAGCTTCATCTATTTCCAAACTGTCCAGCGTGTGGCTCCAAGAATTGCTTCTCCCATGTCACCCTGCAGGGACCAATCACCCTGCTGCTGAGGGCCTCTCTGGCCATCGTCTTCACCGTGACACGTGGGAAAGGGATCGTGACCGCATCGTCTTTCGGCTGGAAGGAACCAGGGAGCCTCTACCAGGACCTTCCCTGTGACCGAACTTTGGAGAGCCCTTTTTGTGACCGAACTTACAAGCCTGTTTGTAACCTCAAACCAAGGGATCAAAAAAGGTCACTGGGAAGATCCAGCTAGACTCTGGAGTTCTACAGTATGATATGTCATGTCTTTAGAACCACTGCTAGGTACTTGTAAGTGGATCTGTTGCCTGATATTCCATTTGGGGATGGGTCAAAACCAACCTCGAGCCCATCTGTATTGCCCGACCTCCCAAATACATAGGTCAGTAGGAACAGGTCTGTCAATCCCTTCCTCATCCAACAAGGCTCATCTTCTTCCTCCTCCGCCAGCTCCCTCAGTCTTTGGACAGCCTTCCCGTGGCTCGCCGAGCCCGGAGCCAAACGGCCCACTGCCACCACGGCCGCCTGCCGGACAGCCTGCGGCAGATGACAGGGGTTTTCCACTGGAACCAGTGGAAGGCCAAGAAAACGCCGGGAGGTGTTGAAGACCTGGGAGTTGTTTCATACCTACATTCGGGAAGAGACCCACATGGAACCTGAAAATGACATGGAACGATGTTCCTCCACAACCCGGCGTAGGTTTTCAGGTTCCATGTGGCTCTCTTCCTGGGCGTAATCCTCAAGCTGATAGAGACAGAATATGACCCACACGTTTCTTGTTCCTAGTAGTAATGCGCTTGTTTAGTAGTAACGCATTTGTTACTAGCAGTAAAGCTCTTGTTACTAGTAGCGATGCACTTGTTACTAGTAGCTTCTAGCTATGTCCTTCCTTGTGCTGTACCTATACTTGTGCAGTCCCAGGCCACCACCTCTGGTTGCTAAAGGAAACATGCCGAACTCCTGTGAACAAAAAACACACTAATTGTATCCACACAATTTTAACCATGCTCATCCAACCGATGTAGTTTCAAGCAATGCGGCTACACGCAGCTACATTCAATCTGCAGATCTACACGCCTGAAATAATCGTGGAAGTGGAAAGACATCCATTTGAAGCAAAATTGTCATCCAAGGGGGCCATGTTCCACTTCCATGACTATTTGAGGGTGTGTACGAGCTTATTTGTTCGTTTCGCGGCCTCCTGTGGGCTCCTGGCCTTACCACTAGGAACAAGAAGCTACTAGGGGCTCCTGGCATCGCTACTAGGAGCGTTCGGACGCTACTAGGAGCATGTACGCTAAAAAAGAAAAAACACTGAGCAATCATGCTCGCCGTGCGCCGCGTCGCGAAGTCGCGCCTCATCATCGTCATCGAGCAGCTTGAAAAGCTTGCTGAGCCACACCTTCAAGCACTACACAAATGTGGTGTGCTGAAAGACTCACCATCTCACTTCAGGGTACATCATTTAGAACATGCTGTATATCAGGAGGTTCCAAACTGAACCATCCAACATCAAACTCCACTATGAAATGATGTCGTCACCCATTCACACCTGAAAACGATCGTTGGAAAAACCACCCCAAGAGTCCATTTCTGGGTGTTTTTCCGTTCGCATCTCCTCTGTGGAATGCTGACAAACATCAGGTCAGGTCAGGTCATCAGGCCGGATCCGAATTCACATGGAAAGCAACAATCCCAGACCATCCATGGGAATAGTTACCTACATTGGGGTCATGTTCATGGGCTCAACGACTGGGTGAACGGTAAATGTAACTATTCCAGTCCCATGGTCTGGGCATGGACGGTCTGATCGAGTCAACCGAAACCAGTCCAACTCTGAGATTTGTACAGCTCAGCTGCTCCTGGGTCTGCTCGTTCCTGGGTTGTCACAGCCACTGCCATATCCAAAACAATGAAAAGACCATGAATGTTCAAGACATAGAATGACATAGACTTCCGAATTCCCAACAGAATCCGACCTTACCCCAGCTCAATCGGGTTGGACATGCCCCAGCTCCGTCCCACCCTCCCCCCCGCCTCCTCCCCGCGTGGCGCCAAGCGCCCCGCCGCGCTCGCCGCCGCGGCGCGGACATCGTCGTCGCCGTCGCAGAGGTAGGGCTGGCCGAGGATCGCGCGGTTTCGGCCCGCCATGAATATGAAGCCATTTGGAGCATGGAAACTAGTATTGGAATGTCTATCAGAGGATCATTCATTAACCTAATTATTAATCGGTTCTCCTTTTCTTTGTATATTAAGTATAGTAGTTGGATGTACCTGGTTAAAAGACAACATGATTGAACGTTCGTTTCCAAACAGGTTTTGGAGCTGACCACCAGCCAACCGGTGGAAATGAGGGCCGGGCCAACCGAAATGCAGGGGCCATCGGCTCGATTCTCAGCACTTGGGGTGAACAGCAAAACCAAGGCCTTCTTCGTGACCATGACAAGCCGTCATGTTTCCTGCCTTTTTGTTTGCCTCCATGAGTAGATATGAGTCATGAGTCGATATGATTAATAATTAAAGTGAACATGGTGAACTTCATTCCTTTTAACCGCCCCCCCCAAACCGCCGCTGCTCACACGCGCGCCACGCGCACCACGCTGGATGCACGCCTCGATAGCCTTCAAGGTCTCCGGCTCACCTCGCCCGGCCATCTCGGCCGCCGCACTCAGCGCCACCTTCCGCACGCCCCAGTCCTGTCACTTTCCAGTCGACTCCGGACGTACTCAATGACTGGAAAATGCAACATCCAGGTCAAGGACCAGGTTTAACTTGGTCCTTGGACTTGTAGGGATGGAATAATTAGAAAAGGAGAATGATCGACCAAGACCTGTTGGTGGGAGGGTATACGTGCATGGTATACCACGAACATACAAAGTTGTACAAATAGCCAGTGTTTGGAAGTTGACACCCAGGACATGCAAAGTGTCAATACGAAACAGTGTGGGGGGGTTGGGGGTTGTTTGGTGTATTTGGGTGTGATTCATTGCGTATATGAAACACTAAACACTTCACATCACCGCGGTTGACTGCAAAACGGTTTCTTGTAAAATTGTCCGATATGAATACTCACGTTGAAAAAAGAAACCTTTTTTGGGGGATCAGTAACGACCATCTTCATGGTTTGCCAATTCCCCTCTGAAACAGTTCCAGACCGTACCACGAGAGAAAAGCAATCAAATTTGCAAACATCAAGCGCGCCATAAGAAACCATCGTTTTACTACCCGTGCATGTTTAGTCGTTAGTAGTGATGCCAGCCCCTCTGAGCTGCATGTCAAGCACATGTCAGGAGTAGGCCAACTTCAGTTGCACTTGTTAGCGAGTTATATATTGTTGTTTTATCCGCATGACTTGCATGGTATGGTCATGACCAGTCATGACTGCCTACTGTGACACCATGTGAGTTGCTCCATGTGAGTTGCTCTCTGATTCCGCCCTCTCCTGATCCTCTGCGAGGCGGGTCAGCACCAGGCGCAAGACCTTCTGCGTCACCTGAAAACCGCTGAACGACGTGAAGCTCTGCAGGGGAAGCTCAGTTCCGGGGAGGTTTCTCTGGACACCCCGATCTGACCAGGGTCTTTCTAGCTGTTTCTCTTGAACGACTGGCTCATGCATGTGCAGGTCTTTAGGCTCATACCCAATAATCAGCCATTCCCTACTTGTGTGGATCATCCATCAGAACAAGCTATAGATTCAACATGATTCAACAATTGTATACGTTACATATCAAAACAAGTAAACTGAAGAATGTTGAATGCTTCTCCCCCTCATAGATGTACTCCTCCCAAATAGACGTGACCCCCACGGCGCGGCTCGTGACCCCCGGATACAGCCTGACCGTGACTGCCGTCCCGGTCAAAGTGGAAACGAACGAAGCGCCAATCGCAGACTGGGATCCACATACCTTCTCAGGGGATCCTGAGTCCTTGGACCCTCCAAGCCTACATAGTCTCCAATCACCTTCTCAAAGAGTGTGGATCCGGTTGATCGATTGACCTGGGGTGGTGGATGGACCGATTGAGTGGTTTATGTATTCTACGACTCTTCCAGTCCTGTCGTGCGGATGGAGTGTCGGACCCCGAGTTCCAGTCCCATGCAGTGTCTCTGGTCATGGCTGTTCCGCTCCATTCCCACGGCTGTCACGGCGGTGAGTGAGTGATTCGCGGCACGGTGAACGCAGGTGTGGCGAATGTTGGTCTGATGGATGATAATTAGTACGATCATCCAACCTCAGACTTTTCAGTTGCATTAATAAAGGGAGTACCTCTTAGATACGAGCAGTTGGAGATCCCAAGCTCCCCAAATGTTGACATCCCAAAAAGGATCGTTGAAGAAACAAACCGATGGACTGTTGACTGTTCCTCCCTGCGTACGGATTTAAGGAGAACCATTCCATATCTGTTCATGTCTTGGGCTCCGAGGGAGTAGCCGCAAAGAAAAGGTGAAACATCAATCACCATCACGTATCTAAATGGACATGTGTTTGCCTTGTCATGTGGGAGGTTATTTACTTTGTCCACCAAGCTTCGTTGCAGAATCTGCAAAGCTTCGTTTTCAAGGACCCAAGACCTGTTCATCCTATTCGTTTGCAGCATATATATAGGCATACAAATAAGGGAACCTGCCAGGTACAACATTTTAGCCCACGACAGATGCGTGGCCAATTATAAAAAACTGATCACTAATGAGTCGAAACAACTTTGGATCTTCTCAGGTTCCACCTCGCTTTCCTGCGCATGTTGCCGCCGCGCAGTGGCTTCTGCCGCCTCCTCTTCAGGACATCTCTCCAGCCGAAAAATGCCATGGAAAACTTCAGAAGCAAAATTTTGAACACTGCTAACAACAGCAGTAGAAAACAAGACTACAGCTAACACAGCTAACAAGGGGGTAAAACTACAACAGTAGAAGGTAAGACTACAACAACAGCTAACAACACCCTGATTGTTGATACCTGAGACTCTGGTATCATTTGAAGCAGGTATAGATGATCTACCTGAATCAACCAATCTTGGGGTAGAAACCACCTGAAAAACCCCTCCAAGCAAAACCATGTTTACCAATCTAAAAGACAAAAATCAACACCCCTCCTCCACAGTCATGTCCTCTTGCGGTGGTGGCGGCACCAGGAGCCGCACCGCGCTGTCGAGCGACGTGCGGCGCACATGTTGGTCTGGGTCCTCCAGGTACTTGATCACCAGCCTCACACTCAATGAATTGGTTTGGAAAATCTACCGGAAACCCCCTGTTTTCCGATAGATTGACCCTTAAAGCAATTGTGGGACACGCGGTATCAGCCGAGGCTGCATCAGCTGAAGCTGCAAACATCAAACGTCTCCCAAACGGTCCAGGCACATTTGGAGGTTGTTTTGGAAGGTTTGTCCAGTTCATCCAAGTCAATGTGGGTGAAAAATGGAAAACAAACAAGGGGGTCGGGCGCCAGGGTCGACCATGGTTCCAAACATCTGGCAGAACTTGGAGTTCGGGGTGCTAGCTTTCCCATAGCTTTCCCATAGCTGCCATCCCCGGTCCTGTGTGAGTGGATCATGGGAACCTTTTCCAAGTAGTATACCCAGGCTCCAATACCCGGCACTCCTGCATGGATATGATTCACTAGTCGGACTTGGGGAACGCCGCGGCTCCAGCGGCTCAGTTCTGAGCTACTGGGAAGTGCAGACTCAGATCCAAACACCCCAATGTACGGAATATTTGCTTACACTTTGACCCATTCAAGTCAAGGACGTTCCTTTTTGGGTCACCTAAAGACCATCCTTTTAAGGAAAACGCGTTCCTGTCTGCCTTCGTTGGTGAAACCATCACCAACTCCTGTGCTCTGTTAGTGCGTCCAGAACCCAGCGAGGGTGGCCCAAGATAAGGAACAAAATCGGTTCACTAATGTCTGCATTCTTGGAACAGGTGATTAGATAGAAATTCCTGACAAAGCTTCAGAGTCCCCCCAAAACAGCAAATGAGCAGGCATGGATCATCTTCCCAAAAGACACACACCCTTTTGGGGTGAACTCCATGTGGGTCGGCTGAAAGTACATGAATAGAACCAAAGATCCATGTCCTCAGCTGCACAGCTGCCAAGAGATATTCCATCTGGGGATCCTGAACTTTGGAGAAACAGCTCTTCGTATGTTCCCCCAAATCCTGATTTCTGGATCGACTAACACATCACGCCATCAGGTGCAGGTGCAGGTATTAATAAACCTGACAGACCACCTTGTCACTGTGATAAGCCCATGGATCCCTGCTGGTCCCTGTATTAGTCAAATCAGAGGCCTCGTCTCTTTGCAGGGCTTCAACCACATCCGAAGTTCTGAGATTCAGGAGGTGCGATGGATTTGGACCTGACTTGTCTAAAACATTCTAAAACTAACTACCTTCGCTGGGCCAGGAGGGGCCAACTCTGATCAGGTCTGGCCTGAGTCTTCAGCCTTCAGCTCCAAGTCTTTCATCCGAGCATCTCCACAGCACGCTCGAAGTCGCTGCCACCCAGCTGCTTCTCGCGTCCGAGTGCCTGGAGTAGGCCGCCCCGAGCCGATGAGTGAGGAGCCCAGTGGAGTATTTGATGTTTTCTTTTTTTCTGACAGCTCACTAGCTAGCTAACATTCACACAAAAATAGGCAAACAAGTGATATATGGTGCTTGGACACCAACAATGGACTCGTGGACACATCATCACAACAGAATCACAACAGCAAAAAACACTTGCACTGTGGTGTTTGGGACCTCTTGGGTGCCTCCGGAGGCACTCCTTTGGGCTCTATTTGCAGTGCCATTTGAACCATTCCTGGATTGAGGAATATTCGCAAACCGTAACTAAACTGGTAGATCATCTTGTGAAGCACCTCTTTGGCCATGTGTACAATAAAGCAACCTATAAAACGCTATAGGCTTTTTATGGCTCTCCTACAATCAACTTCCATCAGAAAACTCCACTCTACCGACTCTAATCTAAACCCCGCATATCAATCCCCCCCCGGCTTCACTCCGTTCTCCGTTGCACGGAGGACCTCCACATTCTCAGTTCTCCCGCCTGAATGGCCTGACGTCGGGCTTCCCAATCGCCCGCCAGCTGCACCTGACGGACATCGCACGTCCTTCACGCGATGTTCGGCGAGCGTGACCGTCATGCGTGCGTACGAGGCTCCACGAGGGCTCGTCATTCACATCCAGAAATGACAACAGCTGGAAGAGGATGACAACAGCGTTTGGGAAGAGGATGACGATGCCTGCTTAGCGTTGTGGAAGAAGGCCCCACGAGAATGACAACATCACTAGGGTTCATAGAAGAGAGATACTGGAATAAAAAAAACAAGGACAACAACATGAGTGACAGTGTTTCTTTCAGGTGGTCCAGGATATATCCTTCCAACATCTTCCAACACCATATCTAACATTCCAAGTATGCACTCTGCTTCAGCACAGTGGAAGCTTCAAGCCTCTTGGAAGCCAGGTTCCGGTGATCCATTCTTGGAAAGGTCATGTTGACTACTATATGTTGACTGTTAATTTATCATCAAGGAGAGATTTGAACAGTTCCATATCACAACGTTCATCCAACAAATGATCCAACAGAAGCTACAAAAAAAACCTTATAAGGTGTTCTATTTAACCTATGCAGTAGGTTACGCTTGTACATCTGTTTCTGAATGGAAAAGCTTGTCCATCCTTTTCCCAGGGTCACCGGTTCCACTTCGACCAAACCATCGACCGGTGCCCCGAGCCACGCCTCCAGAGCCGCCCAGGTCGACTCTCCGACCGCTTCGCCCGCATAGCCGTGACCCGCCGGCATGGCGCGGCACGGCGGCAGCGGGAGGCGCCAATGCGAAGGACGAATGGAAAGAAGGATGGTGGGTGCGATGGTGGGAATCAACTGGGAATCTCCAAAGATTTGATGAGGAGATTCCCATGTAAATCAATGGAAATCTATGAATTTGGAACCCCAATTTGCTAGATTTTGGATATTGGATGGTTATGGTATGTGACCTGATTTGCGTGGCTTTCTGGGTGTGTGTTTTTGTTACCAGGATTCAGAGCCTTGAGCATCTCCTTCTATATGTGGTTTGGTGAAGCTTTGCAAGGTTCGGGGGCTTGCCTCCAAAGCAAGCGCACCTCAGAATTTGGTGCCCCACAAGTTGCAAGCATCATGAAGATCCTAATTGATGCATAGTTACGGGATGCCATATGCTGATGAGAGAATAAGCAAAACATATTGACCTTCCCCACATCCTAATATTCAGGATCCGGGCCCTCAAACAAAAGGGGGCTTTGAGGGCCCCTTTTGTCCTGCTATGGAGGGTTCAAAGGGTTGAGAGAAACTGAAAGGTATGGGTCTGCTGGGTCGCCAGTCGGGTCCCTGCGCCGATCGAACCCGGTCGAATCGGGTCTTCCGGGGGCCAAAGAATCTGGTGCCAACTCCGGCGCCGTGATCCGCATGCCCTGCCCTGGTACTGAAGTACCCGACCATAGCAGTAGCACCTACATCAAAGATCCGACACTCAAGTGTCGAACACAACACATCTCTAAGACATAATATTAATCAGGTTTTGTTGGGGAGTAACTATATTGCAATTGTACTTGATCAATCCAACATTGCTGGTCCTCTGCTACTTGGCCCCGGAACCAACACCCCGGCAGCTTCTCAGGCAGCTCCGGCACCCCTTTGTTCGTGCTTCCGATCTCCGCAGGAGTCACGGCCGCGCCGGCTTCATCTCCGTCGTGGATCAGTCGATATCGTGAAGAGTCCCGTACCTGTGCTGCGGAAAGACCGTGCGCAGGAGTCCCATACCTCCCAGCCGCCGCCGGCCCCCGCATCTCTCAGCGTTGATGAGTCGATCGGATTCCTTGGGGATCCCAAGTCCCAGATAGCAAAACATCACCCAGAGACGACGTGTCTGGGACTGGAATATATGCCCATCAGGCCAGGGGTGGTTGACTGGGGGGTCAATTGATCGGCAGTCCGAACTGGCAGTCCCATTCGTCGTGTCTGGGTCAATAAACCTTTGAGTTCCAGCCAAAACCTGGTAGAATATCCCTTGAAGCTGGATGGATCGTCATGCTGCACACCATGCTGCACCTCTCACTTACTGATGACTTCCATGGATTTGGTGCCTCTTCAGTTTCAGCACTCCCTCCCTGGCCTGATGGTCCTCGATGTTGGGTAGCTCCCTGAGTTTCCTATAGTTTCCTTGATCTCTAATCTTCCAAAGATCTATTTAAATGTTCCTTCAACTCTCAGTAAGCTAGTTCTACTCCTATGATTTCTGGATATTTCTGGTGTGAAATGGCTTGCTTTCCAGGCCGCACTCAACACATGATGTTATTACACTTCGTCGCTTTCAAGTGGCACTCCAAACACCTTGTTCTTTTGGGCTCGACCCATTGGACGCGAGAAAACTCTCCTTTTCCAGAAAACGGCCGTTCGAACCCAAAGCTGTTTTAGGGTACCCGGGTACCGTGGGGTGTGTCTGACAGTCTAGTGGCACCCAACAAATATGTCAAGAACTGCAACCCAATTTCACCTCCACACCCATCCCATGAAAAAACACAACAAACATAGGCGCACTCTGGATAGGGCTTGCCGGGCGCATCCTGCGTTGTTCGTGTGGCCGTTTCCGGTGCCGGTTTCCGGTGTTTCAGGTGTTTTCAGGCGAGATTTGCCCGAGAAATCGACAAATGGAAAATGGAAGTTCAGCTATAATATATGTGCATGTGTCTATGTCTATAATATAATTGTGTCTAATCAATTTCTCGGTGATGTTATTTCAGTTATGTAAAACTGTTATAATATTGGATATAATTCCTCTGTCACCTGTATTGCTTAAAATAGAGCCTAACTTGACTCCTGTTTTGATAGGAAAAGGCAATATTCTAGGTGGATGGTGATGGCTGGTGGTCCAAAATAGAGGTCATCCAGCTTAAAGTATGAAGATTGTTGTACTTCACCAGCACCTTCCAAAAGGTGTTTGGACCCGACCACAGGTGGTCTTCACCAGCACGCACCGGGCGCACCGGGAAAATACAGGATGCACCGATCTTGGAGGGTCGAGGCACTTATAACTCCAAGAAGGAAATCCGATACAACTCTCAAAGGGAGGTCACTGAATTTGACTTTCAGTGCCATCAACACAGGGGATTCCACTTCGGAAGACACGTGTCGCAGTACCGATCAATGCAGATTACGTGATGAGCATCTTTTTTACGTCAAAAACCGATTTGTGGGACCCTGCCCCCGCCGATCTTGCCTAGTGAGTTCCCTTGAGTTGAAATCATGGCAAGTGACGCAGGTTTAGTTGAAATGCAAGGCATCGCATCCCTTTGATAGCAGATGTCCTCGTTCTCACACCTGAATCTACCATGTTCTACCCATTTCATCACGCTGACGTGGTCCATGTTCCCTAACCAGCCAGGTTTTACATAAAGGAAGCTTCACTGATTCACTGCACGACACTCAAGTGAAAGACAATCCAAAGCAATACGCCACACAGGTGCCTGCCAGTTTGGAACAGCACACCCGCCTTCTCGTGTGCCAAGCCCGGCCGCAACTTCTGCCCAAAGAGCGTCCTCGAATTCGTGGCCACAAGGCTTGTGGATATATGATTTCATTGACAAGTCTATGTTTGAAGGGATGCCAAATTGAATAGGGTGGAAAAGACAACATGGATACGAAAAGGAACATCAGCCCCAAGGGAGGGCATCCTGAGGATGCCACTTTTGGCTCAAACCGTGCATTGGCAGTATGTACTTTCTTTCATCTGAAGGTACCTCATCCCGGTCTGGAACTGCCCGAAATAGCTCTCCGTACCTTCACAGATCCTTATCGGGCCTAGAAAGAGAATCAAAATCTACAGAACAAACATACCAGGACCACAGTTGGTGTCCTGGCTGGACTATCCTGCTACTCAGGGATCTGCATTGGACACCCTTTGGAAACGCTCGGTATACGTACAAATCATTACACCTTCTGAAAAAAAGTACTTCGTAGTTGAACCTCCGTTCGCTGAGCAGTGTTAAAAAAGGGAGTCGAACGGTTTGTGATCTACAATCCAATTTCGATGGTGCTTCACCATCCGTCCTGGAGTAGAGATGTTGTGCCATGTTGTGCCAAGAAATTACATCGCAGTCTAAGTCCTCGGATGTGCATCCAAATTCCGCCCAGGCTGAGCTCCAGACTGCTCGAACTTCTTGGCCTGATATCACAAAAGATGGCCAAAGAAGGGCAGTGATGATGGGTTTTCTCGGACACATGGCAGGGAACGGACCAAGAGTTGACGGATCCACCTGCTGAGAAGGTTGCACCCCACAAGCACTGAAATATGCTAAGAACTTGTAAAGAATGAGTTCTTCATTGGGTCTTCATCAACCTTTCGCAACTTCCCAAAAGCTTCCCAGGAGCTGCAAAAAGGGGACACCCATGATGTCCGGTTTCAATCCAAGACCAATGGCATTGGTCGCCCCTTGTTGATTCTAATCGATCACTGGGTCCACACAGTGCGGTCCTTGTTGACCCGTAGAGTCCTGGGATTTCATTGGCAAGTCTATGTTTGAAAAGGGTGGAAAAAGTCAACATGGATACCAAAAGGAACATCAGCCCCAAGGGAGGGCATCCTGAGGATGTCACTCTGGCTCCAACCGTGGGCAGTACGTATTGTCTTTCATCAGACGGTCTGTTCAACTGCCCGAAATAGATAGCCCTCCGAACCTTCTCAGATTCCTACTGGAAGAAGAGTTAACATCTACCAAACAAAAACAACATCAAACAACATAGCAGGACCAGGACCATCAAGTGGGTGTCCTGGCTTAGTCGAGCCCTACACTACTTAGGTTTCTGCAGACAGGACACGCTTTGGAAGCGCTAGGTATGCTGGTTTCCTGTTCCTTGCTTGTCCTTAGATCTTCTGCTAAAGGCTTAGCCTTGAGGGGTCTAGCAATTCGATTCCTTATGGAACCAAAGGGGGTTCATAGGGTCTAAGAAGATTAACAAAAGGGAGGTGTGGTCTTAGACCTCTGAATAGAATAACTCCCTTTATATAATCACTCCCTTTTCCTTATTTCTGGTATAGTCGGTATAGAAAAACTCCCTCTCCTCGCCTGCTTCTCTCGTCGCACCTCCGCCAGTCGCTGGCGCTCCTCCATGGTCCTGAACCCCACTCCGCAGCATGTGGTTCCAGCAAAGAGGATCAGATGGGGAGTGCACTGAAGGAAACCCAGAGGTCAGGGGCATGGAATAAGTCCAACTGCCAGTGCCTTGACCTGGTACACCCCGGAAGTGGTAGTTACTTAAATACCAGGGTGTGTATAGAGTCTCTTGTAGATGGAACACAGTTTGTTAAGGATGCACATCTGTAGCCCACTTCGCACCCTCAGCAGTCCCATTGGCAGTCCTTCCCTCAGCATCTTCCTGCTTGGCTTCTTGCGCCGCCTGTGCACTCGGATGGGAAGGTCAAAACAAGCAAGTCGCGGGGGGAACTGGTTTCTGTGATAACCCTAAAGACATGGCAAATTATGGGGAGCTATGAATCAGGGAAACTGAGCTTCAAGTCTCTAGCAAGTTTCGCTGCTGCAATAGATCGCGGTTCTTGCGGCGAAGCGCAACCTGGCAAGTTTACGGCCATGAGGATGTCTCTGATGTCTTGATCTATGTGCCAAGAGCTCGACTTAAACCAGCTCCAAGAATGGAACTCATCACTTTTGAATGCAAAGATCAAGATCCAAATCAGAAGTGTAGAAAGTTCACATCGGAAGTTTACATACCCGGCCATCGTCAGTATCCAAGCAAGCCCATTGCCATAC